CCTTGCTCTATGGCTGTACTCCTCCTTTACAAAATAATTAAGCTCCATTTTTTACTTTATGAAAATATGCTTTGATACTCAGGAAATGTCTTTACATATATTTATATTTTTTTACGCACATATACAGACATATATGCATGTCTATGTGTGGGCACACGTATATACAGTGATAACCTATTTACCACCCTTGTGTAAGCTCTTCTGTGAGAAAATGTACTGTTGGTTGAGTCACCATCCCTGCAGGTATTTCAAAGGCATCTGGCATTTTTAAAGACGTGGCACCTGGGGACATGGTTTAGTGCTGGACTTGGCAGTGCTGGATTAGTGGTTGGACTCAAAGATCTTAGAGGTCTTTTCCAACCTAAATGTTTCTGTGATTCTATCAGTATAATAGGCTGTTAAAAAAATAAAAATACAGAAATAGAGTGCGTATTTCAGTTTGGCTTTTCCTTGTTACAGTTTCTACACATGGTTTTCAAATAATCTTCAGGAAGTGTGGTTGACATCCTTCTTATTCTGGGTTCTCCTATTTTATGCAATGTCTATAATCTCAAATATGGTCTTACATATTCTTACAAAGAGCTCTTACATGTATTCTTACAAAGAAAACAGTTACTGCAAGTGACAAGCCTGTGTATTCTGGGTGAATCTAATACCCTATCAAATGTACAGTTCACAGATCCTTCTCCATGCATCTCAGAAGTCTAAAGAAGCCAACATTTGAAATGTCCTTTTTTGACTGGTTAGTGAAAGTGTCAATTTTGAGTTGCACAAATTCGCTTGAAACAGGCTGCGGCTGTGCCCAGCAGTGCTGGCTCCCAGCTACTCGAGTCCCAGCTGCCTTTAGCCCTTGGTTTTCATGCACAAGAACAGATTTTGCTCAAATGGGGCAATTGAACAGAATTCTTTCAAGAGAAAGTTTTCATTCCTGGGAGAGGGAGTTTCTACAGTTAAAGCAGCAGCAAGAAGATATCCAGATCATTTTCAGTCCCTTTGGAAGGATATAGCCTTATTTTATTATTGTATTAAAACCAGTAACTACTCTTAGTGCTGTAAGCCATACTTACTTTGATACGGATACTTGTTATGGTATTGCTTGTTTCCCTTCTTTTTCCTCTGGAAGTGTGACAATATTTATTTTACCTTTTTTCCCCTAGCTTTTGCATTTGAAATTAGGAAAGCTAAGGGTGTGTGGCAGGGTTGGTCCAGCATCTTCTTGTTTCTTCAGCAGAGCCATTCTTCCCGTAATTGAGTCTCAGAATTAAATTAAAGATTAGGATAATACTCAATCAAATAGTACTTTTAAAGGAGACCACAAATTTCATTACCACCGTCATGAATCTTATATTCATAACTGTTCAGTATACATTCCAATTTTGCCAGAAAGTTGGGTCATTATCAGTGAAGAAGATGGAAGAAATGTATCTGTTCTACTGAGAGTTCACTATACCTTTCAGGGAATATAACTGGAACATTCCTGAGAAGAGGTGATCCAGGGCAGGGAATCCCACAGCTTAATATCATTTTTTAGTGAAGAAACAGTCCCATTTGTTCTCAAGTATTGCTGACTAGGGAAACTTAATAGGATTTTCTTGAAAGCCTTTTGAATAAAACTAGATAAAATTTAGAGTCTTCTTTTAAGTCAATGAATGCTTTGCACTTTGCTTTATGATTTTTATCACTTTCAATGAAAGACGTCTTCATTATCTTTCAAGGTGTCATAACAGAGGTACCTATCTTAAAAGGGATAGAGCAAGAGAGCAATCACAGAAGTGCCTGCTCTACTAAATCCTGAGTTTGGGAGCTGAATACACCTAGTCCTATCCAATTTTGGTAGCTACTGCTAATGATACCATGAAGCAGCAAAAGCGGCTCTCAAAAAATGCCCAACAGTAACTTGTATGAGAGTGAGATTTGTTAACAATGAGTAAATAATTAAGAATGCTAAAGTATTTTGGTGATCAATTAAATAAAGAAGATTGCTGTCTTCAGAATAAAGCAAGCTGCACTTAGAGTGGTTTGTGAAGAACAGCTCAGTGGATGTCGCAGAACCAGGATCCCACCAAATGTTTGTTGCAGGACCCTGGTGACAGAACAGCTATTTTTCCTGGTTTTCTTTGCAATGTCCGGTGGCTCTTCAAGCAGGACAAATAGTTTTGTTGAAAGATGATGAAGGCCCTGCATTTTTTTGAGAGATTCTTAAGCTTCATTCTTCAGAAAGGAGGAAGATTGTGTTGCCATTCTTGAAAAGAGGTATTTTTCAGCATACAGACTTAGCATCGTGTGATGAGTTTCCTTTTTAAGTCTGACTAGTGTGATAGGTGAATCCTTAGGAGTTGTCTAAGTATAAATAAAGTGTAGTAGGACCCATTTTGATGTGCTGTGTCCCTGTAACAGTTGCCCAGTATCACTGCACCTGGCCATATGACTCTGAAAGAGACTGAACATAGTTCAGTCATTTCTCTGAATGCTCAGGATCAGATGTGGAGATGGGCAGTATATGAAAAAGTGTATTACTGAAAATTGTCCCAGTATGGGAGACTATTTTACAAGATATGAGGAAAAAAAATGAACAGATGGTTATTAATAATGGAAGGGTCGGCTCCTGGATGAAATATCTGGTGTTGTTAATTTAGTTGAATTTAGTAAACAAAAAGCAGATTGATTGAGTAGGATTTCCATTTTCAAAATAAATTGAGAGAGCTAATTAGTGAAATCAACTGGACTGAGTGATATTAGACTAAAATGTAGTAGAGGTTAGGGATTTATTTTAGACAAAGGTGCAAAAGTTAATAAAAAAACTGCATTCCAATTAGATGAGAAAAAAACCACTCATAAGTGTTATACCAAAGTGAATGATAAAATATTTTTAAAGGAATGTGAGAAGCAAACAAAGATCCTGAAAGAAACAGAAAAGCAGCTTGATCTGCAAAGAAGGCCACATCCTGGATATCAGAAGTGTGGGGTTATAGTGGCAATCAACAAAAGTTAAGTTGAATTAGATCATAAGAAGGGAATTTAAATTAACAAGAAAATATTATTTGACTATGTAAAGAAGCTTTCTAGGGAAGAAAACTAGAACCATTGTGCAGTACAAATGAACGAATAATACTAAATATAATCCAGGTATGGTATAAATTGGAAAATATTTAATTTTCAGTAAAAGCGAAATTTCAGGCAAAAAGACCTGAAAATAAATCAATAAAATAAATGGGAGTGTTGAGAGATACTATAAATTAGCACGACTAATCAAGATTAAAGCATCTGACTTGAAGAGAGAATGTTTTCAAGAATACTGACGAATAGTGCAGCATTGAACAATTTTTTAATATTTTAGTTCACAGTTGATAACATATATTTGAAGAAATGGAAATGTAGTACCTGTACTTAATCTAAGAGGGTGGGAAAAAGGTGATAGCAAAGCATCTGCATGGCCTGACCATTATCTGGGCAGAGCTTTAGAAAAGTTTTTATGAAAGAAGTAAGAGAGAAAAGTAAAGCAAATGACATAAGTTTTATTGCAGGTGTGGTTTTTTTTGTTGTTTTTGTTAAATGGGAGACTGTGCCAGCTAACCTGCTCGCCTCTCAAAATATACATTAAGGAAATACATTAAGTCTATCTGGACCTCAGTAAATCATCTGATGTAGTGCCACAGGAGATGCTGTGAAATAGAAAGGATGGGGATTAATGAAGTGTACTAATTTTAAGATAAATAAAGAAATGCAGATTTTAATGAAAAAAATTATTTTTTGGTGAATTTTTGTGATTGAACAGATCTTATCCAGTGTTTTCATTTATTGTTTTGCCACAGAATGAGAGCAGATATACTTCTATTAAGAAAATTTATTACAAGGTAGTATCTAGTGCAGGAGCAAAAAGAGTATTCAGGTAGGATTGGTCCTTTCTGAAGAAAAGAGGACTGCAAACAACATGAAATTGTGTGAAATACAGTATTTCACCAGCAAGAATTTCTACTGTAAACTGCAAATTTCATAAATAAAAATGGAGAGTGATCATATAGGCATGTTGGTTAAGGATTACTGTGAAACTGCAAGATGGTGTGGCATGATCATAGGCTGTATTGAGCAAGATTTTTTTGATAGAGAAGAAAACCACTGTCCCAATAATCAACTAAACTTTTGGTATGCTGTCTGTAGCTCCTGTCCCTTCTTTTCCATATGTAATAACTACTGAGTTAAACAAAATGGGAAATAAGGGGTGGCCTCATTTAGAAAAAAGACCTTGATTTCAGTAAGCAGAACAGAGGTGCACAGTGCTATCTGTAAATGAATTAAGGAGGCATAAAGGGACATAGAAGAGTTATCAAGAGAAATGACAGGTTGGGCAAGAATAAACAGTATAAAGCAGGACAAGAATAAATTTGCTTTGAAGACTACATGACTCCTGGCTTTTACAAGTCCTTCAATAGAAGTAGTTACAGAGAGGACAATTTCCTTGTAATCCGTGATTTTTAGGAACATCACTGTTTTATGTATCACCAGCCCACAGGATGTAAAACAAGATGTTTAGCAGACATCTTAATAGGTAGTTTCAGACAAGCTTTGAACTTGTGCTATGACAAAAAAATATCTGGTATCCTACAGTCAACTCAAAATGTTTCACAAAATAGATGAACTTTTACATTTTTTGACTTAATGCTAGTAAAACCAAACTCATCTACTTATATGGTGTACTTCTGTAAGCTTACACTAGTAGAATTGTGTTTAATAATTTGAGAAGGAATTCAGTCAGAACTTAAAGTGAAAGTAAGTATCAGATTTTGCAAACATTCAGTCCCCAAACTGAACATGAAGGCTACTTAAGAGAGCTCTAAGAATCTGAAGATGTAAAATTGAGATTTGTCTGTGTAAGTTTTATGTGGGTTTTGTCGTAACTAAAGTTACCACCACATGGTAAAATCGGTTGCAGTTTTTATCAATATTGTTTTATTTGTTATCAGTGTTTGTCTTAAAGGTGTTTTCTCTTATTTTTTTATTAGGGGTATCAAATGAAAATGGAAGCACACACCAAACCTCAGATTCTGATGGAACTTTTATTTCTTACAGGTTGGTAATTTTTTATATTTATTTTCTAATTTTAAAAAGGTTGACTTTAATAAGCAGCATAATCTCTTTAAAGCAAAAGTGCATGTCCTATACTTTAGAAAGATTGAGCAATCAAAATTAAAACAGTGGACTGTTGAACATGAAGAATTTAGTTAAGGAATGATCTGAAAAGTTATTTTCTGGATTACTATTTTTTTTTAGAAAGTTGTTCAACTTGCTTTGCTAATGAAAGTACAGGATATTGGTAAGGCTAAATATTTTTAAGGGGTTTTTTTATTTTGTTTTCTCCAAAGTATGCAATAAAGTAGAAAGTATCAACTAAACTCATGGCAACTAAGCTAAATGTTGAAATATTCAATTTACCAGTGGTCACCTTTCTGATCTTCTCCAAAGTAACTGGATCTATGGACCACGTGGAACTCTATTTCTCATTATTTCAGGTCAAAAACCAAACCCAGGATTAGTTAAATTTGAGGTTATTTGATAGGAAAATAATATTTCAATTCTGTTGGTAGTAAACACCAGCTTAAGAAACACGATACTCAGTAACTTTATGCAGCAACGTCACTGAGCTTGAGTCTTGTTTGGGTGCATACCAGAGGGTGTCTTGTGCTTGAGAGCACAGAAAGATAATCAGCAGGTATGCAGTTTCATCTTTCACTCCTCAAAATATTGCCCTTCCTACAAAAAAATCTTTTTCCTTGTGACTAGTAAATTAATAGTATGATTTATGCTAACTGGAACGATTACATCTGATTTTGATGTTTAAATATGGTAAAATAAAACAAACCTACCACATGATTATTTTGGAATCATTTAGTGAACTGTGTTGGTTGGCATCTTTTTCGGTTTTTGTTTGTAGTCTGTTGGAGTGTGTACTTCAAAGAGGTGTAGTCAGGCAGGAGGAACCTGCCTGTTTGCCTTGTCCTGGTTGCAGCGGGCTGGGTGGGGAATACCGCACTGTGGTGCAGGCACTGAGCTATGCTGGTCATGAGGAGCCTTCAGGCGTGGGGTGGCAGGGAGGGACACAATGCTGGAGGAGCCTGTTGCATGCAGGAGACTGAGAGATTGCCAAGGAGAGCAAGGAGCAAACAGCCTGGTCTTGAGGATGTTGAAAAGGAAGAGTTTTCGTAAGGACCTAGAGGGAACAGCAAAGAGTTTGCTGCGATTCAAACACCCAGAGGAAGCTTCTGGACTGAGAGCAAGGTTGGAAAAAAGGGTGTGCCTGCAGGGGCACGGTGGGACTGGGGAGGTTTGATTTAGGTATCCTAGTAAGTCAGCTCTAATGACATCTACTTTGTGATGAACATCTTTCTAGGGTACTTAGCATGTTCACTTCGATAAAAATATGTTAGCAGATCCATTTCAGGGTTCTGCCTGACTCTATTTCTTGTCATGTTCATGTTCTCTAATGCATGCAACATACTATATACTTTAAAAGAAGGGATCAAAAATACCAACCCAAACAATCTTCATGGTTTTTAGGTGAGAAGCATATGTAGATACAGAGACCACACAGCAGTCTCTGAAAAAGAGACAAAATAGAATTTAGCCAGATGAACAAAAAGAAGTTGAGAGCTCTCTCTGCCATTAATACCAGGACACTTATTCCTAAAAGTCATCAACTCAAGAGCTCCAGCTTTTGTACCTGACAAGGGGTAACACTTGAAAAAGAAGCAACCGGCTTCATCTGGGCTCTGGTTCCATGAGAGTGTAAGCTGTGGAGCTGGGGTCTGACCCCTTTTTCCTACCCTGCTCACCTTGTCTCTCAGGGAGCTAGGGAGCTAACCCAGCCCAACCTGTTCATTCTTCACAGGGAGAGCTTTCTGATGACTTCTATCACAGTGTCCTCCTGCCAAAGCTTCAGATGGGTATCAGTGCCAGTGGAAGGAAAGTAGCTAGCACAGACAGAGAGAAACAAGTGGGAGGGCAGAGCATGGTACCACTTACTCAAATCAGCCTAAACCATAGTAAATCCTCAGCCATCTTTAATGCTCCACAAATTAAGAAGAGGTTAAAGATGATCCATGTACCTCCATATTCCTTTGTCCAAAGCACATATAATAAATGTAATGCTTTCTGTGAGTTCCGCTGAATAATAATTGCATTCTGTCAGAGAGGATTACAGCCCAACTTAGAAAACTGAAGTTAATTAATCTTTTAAAAGCAGTCCCATATACAATTTATTGTTATAAATTAAAGGCAAGACAATAAAGCAAGACAGTAGAGAAGATAGGGGTGTGTGTGTGTGTGTGCTGGGGAACTGTATATGTATACATATATATGAAAGAAACCTCTGACTTAAAAATTGGCAAGTTATCACTGTTATTAAGTAGCATTACAGTGTTTGAGGTGTGTAGTGAATATTTGTTGTTCAGTGGCAAGTATCTCCTATCATATGATGAGACTGTTTCAGTAAGTTAGTAATTTGGTAAAATTGATGACAGTCTTGTTTACCCAATGTGTTTCAGTCTATCATATTTGAAAAAGAATGGCTAGTGAATTTTTTCTCTAAAAGAGACAAAGGCATCTTTGGATTGTGGTAAATATTATACATGCAGAATGCTAATGCATAAAAAATTCTGCTGCAGATTTTGACTGAAACAAAAGTTGCTTTATATTTTATCAGTAGCAGGCCTTTACAATTTATTAGGAGAAGAGACAACTCCAAAAGTATTTGAATGTGAATATGTTTTGTTATTAAAGTGCTCTTAAAAGCATATTAGTCTTACAACAATAAAAAATAAACCCCACGGGAGGTTACTTGGTTCCCACCCTTTCTATTTTAAGGGACAATTTGACACTCTCCAGTACAAGAGTCCAAGTGGAGGGAGTGTGTGTGTGTGTGTGTGTGTGTGTGTGTGTGTTAATAAAGGATGACAGATCATTATCCTTTGATATATTTATGATGCTCCAGAACTATTTGTATGGTTTTATTTTTAATATGATGGTGTCACCTTAGAGTTTGTGACTCTTGCTTGTGTTGATCATGGCACAGATTTAATGCTGCATGTGTTCAGATACTGAGCATTTCCCATTAGGTCATAAAGTTTGTAAGTAATGTAAGTGAAAAGCACGTGTGACTGACACATATTTCTAAATGTTCTGTGAGTTTGTAAATGTGTCCTGTCAGGTCACGGAAAATTTTCTAGCTGGTCTTTAGGCTCTGATGGAATTATTCTTTGTGGACTTGGGAGAAAGCTTTTCTAATAAGAAATTATGAAAATTATTCCCTAGAACCATGTCATCAAAATTAGAAGTTCACTATTTGAAACATTTGAACAAGGATTTAGACATACAGTAACTTTCATCTTTAATTTGTAAGACACTTAAGGAAAATATTTAAGTTCCGCTCTACCATATTTTTTTTACTGCTATGGTTAAAGCCTTTTCTGGATGTCCAATGGGCTGGACTTCACCAAGAGGAAAAAGAAAAATAGGTGGGGGTCTCTAGTTTCAGTATCTGCAATGCAGTGCCACTGAAAAGTAGAAATACTGTCTTTTTCCTCCCTTCCCAAGGGCAGCTGACCTTCTCCTCGCCAAAGAGGTGAACCCCTTGCCAGCACATATGACTACAGACTATTACATTAATCTGTTTAGCCTCAGTACCAGCTGCTTGCATGTTTTTAATTATCTTATTAGATGGTATAACAGTGACCTATGAAATAAAATGAAGGTGAGTATTTTTTAACTTTATTTTACAGGCTATTTTTCTAAATATATTTTAATGACCTAATTATGACTTTTAGGGAGAGCCATTGATGCAGACATTCAATTTGGCTGATAGAATCTAACATCTCAAGGACACTTATTTTCTTCCAAGGTGGATTCATACATTAATACTGCTTCTAATAAATATATAGCCTAAAAAAGCTTGCTTTTCATACTCATGTTGTTAACTTACTTTATGATTCAGAGACCCATGACTGCTATGCTGGATAGTTTCTTAATACATCTCTGCACATGTACGTAAGTTTAATTTCTACCCCATGTATCAAAATAAAGTTCTTTCGTGTGTGGCCTAAATTAGGTGACAAGTGATGATGGCTCAGAGTTGTGGGTTACGTAGACAAGGTGTATTCCTCCTTCGGCTCATACTTCAAACAGGCAGAAGATCTACTAGAAGAAGGATTTCTGTATTCCATTTCCATTTTCTTCCCCTGACTTCTTACAGATTCTACTTGCCAGATGTTTCCTTTCTTGCTGCAAAAAGGCAATGTGGTCCTGCTGGCTGTGGCGTGTTTCTTGTGTGCCAGCCAACTGCAGGACTGATACTGAGCATACAGGAGAAAAACGGCAAGGGGTGCAAGCTGTTCCTCCTTGTTTCTACCCCTTTCCAAAAGTGGGTACTGAAACCAGTTTGATTCCTCTTTGACCTATGGCTTTTCTTGGCAGTTGAGACAGAAATGGCTTATGTAGCCTCCATCCTTCTATGCTAAACATAGTGTGAAGATTTATACATCTTATATATGGCCCTCCTCTTGTGGAGAAATTTGCCTTAATCTATCAGGAAGCAGCCATTTTCCATCTACACAAGCCTATTTAGTCTTGTTGATACACAAATGATGTTACTTTATTGTTTTAATTTTAAGCCACCCCTGTGCAATTACAATCTTATTTTTCCTAACTTTGTTCGCTGTGTGTCCTTGCATAATCAAGACCTGTAAAGAACAAGCTTGTTTCTATTGGGTTTTTCAAATATTTTGAAATACAAAAATTTGGGAACAGAAGGCAAAGCAGTGAAGTTGGCACCGCACCTTCAGTCTGTAAAGAGAATTCTCAGTATTTGAATCCTTCCTGTCTTTCCACAAGGAAGTAGTGAAACTGGTATCCACGTTTATTTTGTCTTACCTCAAACCATTTGCTAGATGCTGTTCTGGTCGATGCTATTTATGTGCAAAGAGGCCTTTTCAGTGTGAATTTTTCTTTTTTCTAAGAATTCTTTCCTTGAATTTTGTGATTCTTCTGAGAGATTACCTTTGTAATGTGCTAAGAATCTT